CCTGAACCCTGAACCCTGAAGCCTCAGCAAGGAATCCCTAGGATGCCTTGCTGTTGCCTTTAAGTGGGCCTTAGGGCTCAAAGCTTGTGTTTGTTAGGGCTTAGGTTGTTGGGCTTGTTTAGTTGCTGCTTTCTTTGGGGGCCTTCCGATGGTAGGGCTGAGAGGACAAGTTCCAAACCATGCACTTCGATACACCAGCAAACACTTGACCTGATCACGAAGGCCCCTAGACCGAAACCTTCGGGACATTCGGTATTTTGCCGGAAGTGGACGAGCTAAGCTGGACTCGGGCTTGCAGGGTATCTCTTATCTTTTGGTGTATCTATATAGGGTGTCAGCATGGCTAAGTATTGGGCATTCATGATTGGAAAAGAACAGAACAGAACAGAACAGAACAGAACAGAACAGAACAGAACAGAATAGAATAGAATAGAATAGAATAGGATTTGATGATGTAACTAGTATTTTTGCCGAAGCTTTTGGAGGGTATACCATGACTAACTGTACAAGTTTCGAATACTCGTCTCCTAAGCCCTACGATAGGTAAACTGCCAGTACGGGACAGAGCTACAGCTCGAGCTCGAGGAAACCTCCCCCTTAAGGCATACCCGGAAGCAAGGGGATCGGTCCAGCCAACCCCTAAGCCCTAAACACCCTACACCCTACACGCTAAACCCTAAACCCTAAACCCTAAGCCCTAAACCCCTAAACCCTAAACCCCCAAGCCTAAGGTACGACGTGCTGCAGTCGGCCGGCAAGGCAGCGCAGATGCGACATAGTATGTAGCTTGCTAGGTCTAGGACCTCTGGGTTTCGGGTGCTTTAAGGTTTAGGGCCTTTGGTTTTGGGCTCATGGGAATTGGGGTTTTGGGGTTTAGGGTCTAGGGTTACGGAGTGTGCAGTGAGCTTCGGCACGGCAAACTCTTCTCGTTGTGACCATGTTTGGGTTTGGAGATGATTTCGGCCGAGGGTGCAGGGTTAGGCGTCACAGAACCCAGAGACTCCAATACCTCTGAATTAAGGAATATACCTTAAGTCATATTAGGGATCCTACTATACTTTAAGGTATATTCCTTAATTAAGGGGTCTTGGAGTCCCTGGGAACCCCCAGCGCTTGGAGCCCTGAGCCTCACTTTTTTGGAGCTCCAAGCCTTGTGGCAGGCCCCGAAGAAAGAGCAGCCGACTGAGGCGAAGAGCGACGACATGGAGGTCTCCGCTATTAGGGTCCAGGGCTTCGGGGGGCGGGGTGGGGAGGGGGGGGGTTCTAAAGCTTATGACCCTAATCCCTCAGGGCTCCCCAAAATCCCCAAACTCTCCACAACTCCCATAGAGTTCTTGTGCAACTTCAGGCCCAGGTGGTGCGGCTCATGAAAGAGAAGCAGTGGTCCCGGAAAGAGGCCGGCTGCGCTCCCAGTCCCTATATGTACTAATACACGGTCGCCAGCATCTAATAGCGTCTTGCGGTATGCTATACTAGGGGAATATAGGGGCCATGAAGCATTATTCGGACCCACGTACAGAATTTGTGAGGGTTCAGTTTAGGGTTTATAGGCTTGTAGATCCTAGACTACGTCCTGAAGGCTAAGTTTAGGTGTTTATGGCACTTATGGAGCAGAAGGGGTGTCGGCTTTTGGGTCTCTACATTCGAACCAAACATTTACAGCCCCAAACGCCCCAACCCACCGCCAAGCTCCGCCAGAGAGCAACACTGGCTTCAGATTCAGGGCATGCGGTAAACCGGCTTCAGGGATCTTTAGTGTCTTCTCATGTCGCAGTTTTACGCAAACTTTAAAACAGCCTATTATGAGGTAGGTTATTATAACGTAGGTTATGACTCAAAGGATCTAGGGTTTGGGCCCAAATCTCAAACACCCCAAACCCTAAACCCCAACTACAGCCCACTTTGAGGCCTGCCAGTACATAGATGAAGGCGGTCTCGACATGGAAGCCATGCGGGTGGTAGCCTGAGTTGGCTGTTTCGTTCTTAGGTTTCGGTTCCAGGACATATCAATATTACTCCAACGGGGTTCCTAAGAATCTAGAAGGGTTGCAGAAAGGGACTTATCAGGGTTGGCGCAGGGTTCAGGTCTTTGGGCTTGTCCAGGTTTGGTTGAAGTTTAGGGTTCTCATTCGTTTGTAAGGGCTTCTTCTCTCGGTGTTACCCTGCAGTTTCCGTGGTTCGTGGAGTTTTGAGAGCATGCGCGGAAGGGATTCGATTTGGGGATTGGGATGACCTGATACCCTCAACCCTGATTCTCTTCGAGGATTGCTTTCCGGCTTTCATACAGTAAGGACTGCTACATATTCGGAGTTTCGGCCGAGGTATGACTATTTCTGTTGTGATTCACATTCAGGTTATGTAGGGCTGCCGGAGGGAGTTTGGAATTTAGTGAGTGTATTGCTAGCAATAAGGACCTTACTCCACTTGGGTGGGTTGCTAAACATGGTCCCTTTATTTCCCAACAGCGACTCTAAAAACAAAGACCCTGAAAGGGGTCGGAATGCGCAGTGTGCTTTTCCTTACAGAACTACAATAGAGCACTATAGGGGCCTTAAGAATCACCTATCCTTTTTTTTTGTTTTTTTTTTGTTTTTT